ACCAGGAGTGTTGGGAGACCCTCAGGGGATGGTCAGGCGGTTCTTAACTGTTTCTCTAAAGTAGTAATTGGTCACAGCCAGTGCCAGGGAAAGAACGGCTCCTAACAGAAAACACCTGAAACTAATCAGCAGCTTCTCAATAAGATCTCAGGATTGGGGAGAAGAAACGCGAGATCCCAGAAGTAGGCCAACAGATCAAACTCCAAGTCAAGAGGTAAGCTGTGCCCTTGGTTTCTCAGGTCACCTGCTTGGCCCTCTTCCAAGTTGTACTTGCCTTCTTTCCTTACTCTTCTAAAGCTTTTTAGTAAACTTTCACTCCTGCTCTGAAAAGAAAAAATTCTAGATCTGCCACTTAGTAGCTTCAGAAAGGCCCTGTCTTTATTCTATTGTTCTCTTGTTTGTGTTTGTTTTCTCTTGTTTAAGATTTCCAGGAAAATGTTTTAATTCTTTTCAAATTTTCAGTGTCACCTCTACATTTTACAAATTTGAGCAGATTTCCACTAGCTGAAAACACAGAAGGCACAGGATATGGACTCCCTTAATTTGCCTCTTTAGTGTTTTTCCAAATCTCTGAAAGACATACAACCTTCTCGAAGTGGATGAGCTTCTGCCAAGTCTCCTCTCCATGCCCCCCGATCCCTCTTGGGGTACTCCGTATTCCTTCCCTACCTCCATTTCCTCCAGGCTCTCTGACTACCTCCTTCCCTGCCTGCAGCCCACAGTCACTTTCCCTCCTTTCCCCCAGCCCCCTCCCCTTGGGCTGAAGCAGGCAAAAGTCACCTCCAGACTAAAACAACCAGCCAACCATGAGTAGCAATTTTCCTCTGTTTCTCTTTTGAATCAACAATGTTTCTGTCAGCAAGACCTCTGCCTCCTTACTCCTCATTCACTTGGCAACCTTTATAAACGTACTGTTCTACTAAAAGGTCTCTTGAACCTCCAAAAATAAAAATAAGTGATTCAGTCATACTCCTGCTTCTGAGTGACATCATTGCACATGTGGTCACTGATGTCACTCCTTGTTCATTGAAATCCTCTCCTCCCTAGGAGTCCATGACCCTGCACTGTCCAGTCTCTCCAACCACTCCTTCCAACCACTCCTTCCCCGACCCATCTCCCCAGTGTGGCTCCTGTCCCTTTTCCCTTTGCCCATTTTCTACCTTGAAGATCATAATCAACTTTTACTCCTAGGGTAGTGGTTCTCATCCTTGGCTGCCCAACCTTTGTCTCCTTGAGGAGCTTTGAAAGAAATCCTGATGTCCGGGTCCCATCCCAACCAATTACATCAGAATGTCTAGGAATGGGTCCTGGTGGGGCTCTAGGGAGTTGACTCTTAAATCTTTAGACTTAGTTTCTCACCTGAATCTAATTTACTGAAACACCTTCACTTTTAGTCTTTGATTATTGGCTGGATGAATATTTCCATCTGGGCAATCTAAGAGCCCCATGATGTCCCTTGTAGATCTGATCCTCTTCCTATTTTCTCCTTTCACTTGGGCTTGAAGGCTGTGATTGTCCTTAACTCTCAGCATCCAGTAGGTCTGAGGTCTGCTTGTTTCCCCTCCTCAAAAGCCCTCAAAACTCTCCCCTCCATTCCAGGTGGGCAGGTCTTGTCTCTCACCAGGACTGATATGAAGCACCTACAAGAGTTTCTCCACTTGCTCTTCTTCCTAGACAAGGCTGCCAGGACTAACTTCAGAGCCCAGGGCTGACTTTGTCTTTTCTCTGCTCTGAAATCTTTCCTGACTCTCCACTGTTCACTAATGGCTTCGTGGCCTGCTTTAATTCCCCCCTCCACCTACTCTCTCATATACTCTCAGCCAAACCAATAACTTCCCACTACCTTGACATTCCTCCAACATTTCCCTTAACTTTGCTCAAGCTGTTCTCTCCCTTATACTCGCTCTGCCTCTTGAGATATCAAGAGATTTCCTTCCCATCCTTCAAAATCCAACCAAAATGCCACTTATCCAGAACAACTTTTAGCATTTCTGTATCCTACAGAATCCTGCATTCCTACTGTCACACAGACCACATTTTGTCCTGGGTTAACTGTCATGGTCTTTTAACTAGATTATAGGCAACTTGAGAATAGGGCCTGTGCTCTGTACACCATTAGTGTTTTTATATAGCAGCTATTTGAAAATTTTTATTATACTAAATTAAGGAGGTTTGCCTATGTGAGTGCTCTTTTTAGCTCACATAGCCCCTAAAATAACTTTCTAAACCATTAGATCCAATTTCACTGTTAAATTGACGTCTCCGTTTTTTAAATCATAAATTCAAATATTGCAAAGAATGTGTTTCCTCTTGTATGCATGCATGCTCTAAGTATATTTTCATTTAAACCTTAAGTAATTATAGATTTGATGCCTTTAATCTCAAACTCCTGTGCTCAAACGAGCCTCCTGCCTCTGCCTCCCAAAGTGCTGGGATTTCAGCTGTGAGCCACCATGCCCAGCCCTGATGCCTGTAATCTAGGAAAATATGTGCTGTATAATCTCATTGGCAGAGCTAGTCTAAGTGGTCAAGGCAGACAAATAGCCAATCACACATTCAATCAGAAATCTGACTTTATTTGAAAACTCACATAAATGTAGGTGCCAATTCTGAGATCACCAGGATCTCTGTCTGGGCTCCTCGATCAAATAAGGTGTTGCCCACTTAACTATTTCTTACTGCTGAGGGCTGCATTCGCCAATTGTCCCTTTGTTTAATTCCCTAGAGGTTTTTACACCATAATGTACCAGTGTCAAATGCAGGACAGGTGACAGATGGAGCCTTTCCTTGCCATGTAAAGGGCCGCTGTATAGAGCAGGTGGACATGCACACAGCCTGCTAGTTTTAGAAAATGTACCTCCCACTTAGGAGGTCAAAGGTCACTTTATTGCTTCACAGAATACCAGGTTCTTCCAGGTGAGATCACTCTCCAAGAAGCAGTTTCATCAGAAGAAAAGATTCCATCAAACTAGAGTTCTTAAGATAAGGCTGTCATTTGTGGTGGCCAGTTTCCTTCCCCAGGGGTGGTGGGACAGACTTAAGCTTTTATGAAGTCCCTGATCACTGAGTTGCCTGGGTGATCTGCTACCAAATGCCCAGCAAGGGTTTGGTTTAATTCTAGGGTGTTGCCCCATTGTTTATACCCAAATGTTTACAACCACAGCTGTTATTACCACCAATAATCATAATCTCTACACATGTAACTGGGGCCCTGCATACACTAGACATGATACAGAACTTACTAAACACAGGAATCTTACTATGGTAAGACTTGGAAACTATTCTTGTGATTTTATAGACATCCTGTCTGGCACTATGGTTGTCTGAAGCAGAAATGTCTGTTAAATCCAAATTATTTCAGCAAAGAGATCATTCGATTTTTGCCATGACTTTGGCCTGAAAAACAGCAGTATCAGGGGAGCAGGGGCAGATTACTTAGGGGAGCCCCAAGTTTACAAATTTTGGGGGAAACACATTAGAAAGAGAAGATAAACTTTCAAATAAGATTCAGGGCCCATGTAACCGTCAGTTTCTGCAGCTTTACAGCAGATCCACGTCTACTGCAGAAATGCAACCAGGTTTCTGGTGGCGTGTCTCATGCTTGGAATACGCATTTGAGGCAGTTCCTGGCGTGTGTGTACCCCAATAGCTACAGGGTTTACCACCTCTGGGGGCTGTGCCTCCACTGCTTGGAAGGTGACCCAGGCCCTGATGAAAACAATGGGTTCTCCTGCCAAATGCCTGGCTGTAGTTCCAAACTGATGGGCTGTGGACCAGATGTGGCTGCATCTGGTTTGTTGTGGTACTGTTTGTTTTTTGTTTCTTGTGTAGCCTTTCTTATAAATGTGAATTAAACTTGTCAAACTTTAAAAACCAAAAAATTTCAAATACCTGAATTTTTTTTTCCTTCTCTTGAGAAGGAAATACTGTTCCGTGCTGGACTTGACAAACCAGTAGTTTTAGAGGAGGGCACACTCGCCCTTTGGCCAGTCCCCATCTGAGTCCCTCCTCTGTTCAGTTTCCTACCTATACCTTGGAGACATGAATTCATGATAAGGCCCTGTCCAAGTCAGCAGGGGCCTTGCTGGCCTCCCCCTAGTTCCTGCCCTGTCCCTATCCTAGTCCTTTGAGCTCTGGCTTCCTATCTTTTGGTGTCTTAGTAATTTGTATTATTTTAAAATAAGTAGTGCAGTATGAATATTTATATTCCATTTAAACTACATTTTTGTATAGGTCTTTTTCAGCTTGCACTGGCCCATTCTGATTACTTCATAAAGAACTGCATGTGTTACAAATTTCCTAATTTTTGTTTCATTTTATACATCATCTCTTTCCTTTTATAAAAACGATGCACAATATTAATAATTTTTGTATTGGAATAAAAGATTGAGTTTGGGAACTTTAGGCCTCCTACCGACAGGTGGAGTGGGAAGTCTTGGTCAGTTTGTTCCGATTGTCAGCTCCCCGATGGTAGGGCTGTAATCACCCACCGGCCGAGCAGAACTCTCCCTTCCTACCACAGGCATCCGAAGACATGACAAAAGCTAGATTCGACCACTCATTTTGGACCAGTTCACTGCTGCTCGCTATGTTGGCTTCTGCATGAACATCTTGGGATTTTGCATGAGAAAATTTCAGAATTAAAAGGAAAAAACGTGATGGAATTTATTACAGATGGATACTTGAAATCCTTTTTGAAAAAAGGTAAAATATCAATGTAGCAAGCAACAGAAATATACAGCCAATTCATAAATGATGTAGTAACCTGACAAGCAAATACCAACGAGACTGAGAAAACTGTTAGGCCAAAAAAGCCAACAATCTTTCCCAGTAATGCCACTGCTTTTAGATTCAAGTTTCAAAAAACTCCTATTTGGGGCATTAAAACTTACACATCAAAAAAAAAAAATCGATGAAAACTGCAGTTTTGAAAAACCAGGTTAACTCCCAGTAATCTATTTCAAATCAACACACAGCCTATATAGTTGGAAAAAGAAAATATTTTTGGATATATATTTTATTTGACAGTGTTTTAGAATATCATACAGTAAACAAGATTTCTGTAAAAGTTAATTTATCCATAGTGGTGCGTTTCATAAAAATAGTTGCTCACTTACAGTCTTTCTGTGACTATTAATACATGGAATTATATTTATAGAGATACAGCTGTACAGGGTAAATTCACAGCTAACACTACACAGAAATATTATTTGGAATGGGATTTAGATGATGTGCTGTCTTCACAGGTTATGGATTACAGCCGCATAAAGCAATTACTGCACAAGTAGTAGCTGTGAACTGTGCAAATTAGAGTTTATGCCAGTGTAATCTCAATTTTTTTTTCCTTTTGTGATACATGGAAAATAAAGGTCGGAGGATACAGTACCAGGACGTGCAGCTACACTACAGAAGCATTGTCCAAAACCAGATTCAATAAATTAATGGCAAACTATACTGGATTTCTAGTCCAGGGGAGAAAGACTAATTGAGATTAAACCAAAAGCATTATAAACTGCTACATGTGTTTGTGCTTTTGTTTATGATGAATGGGTTTCATTTTTGGAAATTGCTTTTACAAGCTGCAAGATCCTTCACTTGAGGCTTTCAACCTTATTCTCCTCCTGTCAAACAACTAAACTACTCCGATGTCTGATGAAAATTAAACTGCTACTCAGGATGCTGCAGTTACAAGGAGAGGGAATGATCAACCCAGGGAGGCTATTACCTGTGACCTTTGAGATGAACCTGATCGCCCCTTTTACTTTTTAGACTACAAGTGCAGGGAGGTGAAGCTTATTTGCATTTGAACTCCTCTAAAGAGTTAGAATATGGAAAGGATGAAGCCTCATTCATTCAGGGCATATTAAAAAGAAATTGCCTTCAGAAACACTTTGCCTTTTAACATGTGTAGCTACAGTAAGTACCAATGGATAATTAATTGAAGCTAACATTTTACAAAGAAATGCTAAAACAGCAGGAAAGAAAGGCAAGGCTTAGAATTTTACTAGGAGGCCAATCATAGATCCATGAAGATAAACATCTAGAAGTTGCTAACAAAATAAAAAAACTTGCAAAGAATACAAGACGAAAGAAAACCAATGGAAACAAAAGGAAGAAAGAGTAAGGAAAGAAGGATAAGCAGAAAGGAATGCTAAAAAGACTCACGTTCTTTAATGAAAATAAATTGGTTATAATTTTTTAACATTAGAGATTCATTATAGTCTGAGAAATATAAGACAAAACTCTGCCTCTGCTCTGTCAAAGTGCAAATGAAGTCATGGAGACAGGGTTTAAAATAAGACAAAAAAGTGAAATCACATTGCTGACAAAGAAGCTATCCATCTCTGCTAGCCTGGGACGACAGAAAAGCCTCTTCATAAAGGAACTGCAGCGTTGCCAATCTTGATTAAACAAATTGTGGTCCTTCAATTATAACATTCATATTTTAGAGAAAAACCAATTAAGATCTATGAGCTAAACTGCAAAATTCTGACTTATGGCAAACTGTTCCCTAGGATACAATTTTTAAAACCTTTTTTTCTACCACTGAAAATGTACAGAAATGAGATTCGATCACAGAAATGGCAATAAAAATGGCATCACACCAAGAAACTCACTAGATTTCTAAGTCATCCTGCAGGAGGCAGGGAACGCTGCTGCTAACACCGAGGATGGATGCCAAGGGTGAGCCATGGAAACATGTCATGGGTGAACGGTTCCGAATGTGTCAAAGAAACCCTTTAACCCCTGTCTAGATATGTCGAGAACAATTTATTTACAACGCTTTAGATCAATTAAAAGATATAATCTTGTCTCAGTTTCAGCTTGCTCCGTGCAGTTTGATTTTTAAGGCGATATTCCAGTTTGTGATTGCTCTTAACTTGTCCAGTTTCTTGATACAAAGTTTGGATGACATCCAAATCCTTCATGCAGTGGGGAGGAATATTTTTTTTTCTCAAACTAAAGCTACACTGCACTCTCTCTGTGATGTTCTTCACGTTATTTTGGTTCTTCCATAGCTGCCAAAGCCCCCACAATGGAACCGGGGGCTTTAGGATCAGTTTAGGTCTGCGCGTGGACGCGATGCCGCCCAAGCACACCGGACACGTGGGACTTCACGTCGATGCTCCCAGGCCTTAGTGCCTCGTGGATCTATGCGTGTGACAGTGAAAATAAATTAAAACGCCGTGAGACGGAACCTAAGAAGAACGGCCTGCGCCGGGGCGGGCGGGGCCTGGCCGCGCGGCTCATCTGCTGGCGGCCGAGGCGCCGGGTTTGAGGACGCCCGGCAGCTTGTCAGAGCCCGGCACCTTCCAAGGCCCAGGCGCCACGGCAGCCTTGCGCGCGGGGGCGCCCCCCGGAGGTCGCGGGCCCGGCCGGGGACCCGCGCGCGCACCCGCCCTGCCCTCGACCTCCCGCGCGCCGCTGCCGGGCCGGCGACGTGGGCGCAGCGCCGGCCTTCGCGCCGGCAGAGCTCGAGCCGCGCGCGCGGGGCGCCTCTTCCGCCGCCGCGCCGCGTCGCCGTCTGTCCGCGCCGAGCCGGGCGCCTGGCCTCGCGCGCTCCGCCTCGGCCGCGCGGCCCTCTGCGGACTCGCCGAGCGCTCCCTCTGCTCCCCGAGGCGCTGCTTCTTCTGGCCGCAGGCTGAAAGCTCCTTTGGTTTCCTAACGTCGTGTTCCCGTTTGATATCCCAAGTTGGGCCTGGGCTTATCTGGTGGGAAGGGTCGGAGGGTGGGGCTGGATGTGATGGAGAGAATGGAGCGAGGCCGTCGTCCAGGGAGACGCCTACTTCCGGCAGACCTGGGGCGGCGGCAGCGGGAGAACTCCAGGGGGCGGGTTCGTCTGTGGACGGGAAGCACAAACGTTAGCAATGGCGCGCGCAGGACTTCCCCGCGCCCTCTCTATGCCGGGGACAGGGGCAGGCAGATGGGGCGACTGCTCTCAGGGGCCGGAGCCACCGCCGCCCCCACCCCCACCCTCACTGCCGAGAGGGCAGCGGTCGCGCCCCCGGGGATTTGGGGGTTCCCTCCGCCCCGCTTAGCCCCCACGCCCCGAACCCCGTCCGTGGACCGGGGAGGCGAACGCGAAGCGCGGGCCTAATCCCTTCGCATTGGCCCTGCTAACTTCCGGGGGTGTCCTCGGGCCTGATAGTCCTGTGTGGACAGCTCACTTGACAGCCCTTGAATCAATCAGTGGGTCTCCAACTCGAGCAGACCTCGGAATCACCAGGGTGGTGGTGAAAAATACAGATTCCCCGGGAGGACCAGGCCCGGAGATTTTAGCAGCACGGGGCCCAGGAAGTTCTCTGTATTTTTATCAGGCACCCAGGTGATTCTGAAAAAGGTAGTCTAGCAGGGGTGTCCAATCTTTTGGCTTTCTTGGGCCATATTAGAATTGTCTTGGGCTACACATAAAATACACTAACGATAGCCGATAGGCTAAAAAAAAAAAAAAAAAGTCCAGGCATAAATCTCATCATCTTTTAAGAAAGTTTACGAATTTGTGTTGGGCCACACTCAAAGCTGGCGGCGGGTTGGACAAGCTTGGTCTTGAGCCAAGTTTTGAGAAACACTGATCTGGGTTCTCTCGAAGTTGGAAAGTGACGTTCTCACGTTCTCAACCAGTAGGTGTCACTCAAAGCATATTGCTAGCTGCTGTCAGTTTCAGAATATGGATAAATTGATTTTAAAACGATCATTTTTTTTTTTTTAATCGTTGTCCTTAATTACATTATTTTTCTTTGCCAAGTCCGGATGGAAATTAATTCTTCTTAGTACTTCTAACATTATGCAGGGCCCCAGGACTAGGATGATTCTTTCTAGGAAGTCTAGTTCCAACAGTTACTTAGGATTTAAGTTACCTACTTCCAAAAAGGATCTAAGACAATTGACAACATCAAAACACATATAAAACAATGATAAAAATGAGAGATGACTTTTTTTTTTTTAAAGCAACAGCTGGTCAGAAGCCAAGTAGAAGGACAGATGTATTAGGAATCTGAGATGAGTTAGCTACGACTGTGAGCAACAACAGTTCCCTGGAGCTTCTGGCCACTAAGGGGAAATGAAAGCAGGGAATCCAATTACCATGAATCCTTGATATTTGTAAGAAATACGTCTCATGACCTTGGAAATGCTCAAATTTTGTGATATTCTAGAGTGTAATTTTTCTTCCACAGAATTGGTATATGGTCGTGAGTGGAGAACAAAGAAACCACATGGATGGATTTGAATTCTGGGTGCCAGGTGAGCCTCCCTCACTAGCTAAAAGATTCAGTCCCATACAGCAGCCTCAGTGCATGTGATTCAAGTTCCTGCCTCTGTAACGTGTCAGAGGCTGTCAGGGATACTTGTGCATACTCAGTCATCTAATGTCCAAGGTCTACTTTGTTTGAAACTTGAGGATTCTTATATAGTACCTTTGATACTGATTTATAAAGCAATAAGGAGAGGAAAAGGGCAGTGGCATTGGTTTTCCCCGTAATTCTGGCCATCTTTAGAATGGCAGATGAAAAAAGTTTTTCATTCTATGTGAAATTCGAATGGAACATTTTGGGCATAATGTTAACCTTCCTTCTTCCATACGCTGATGTCCATTATCATTTTCACATAGTAAAATCCTAGAGGAGCATCAAAAGCCCTGGAATCTAATCCTGGTTCTGGCGTGTATTTACTGGCGACATGATTTTGGACCAACAACTAAATCTCTCTGAGCCTCAATTTCTTCCTTTGTAAGATGGGGATAAAATATCCAACTTTACAGATGTGAGACATACACTTTCTAAGGGAAAGCACATTTTTCTTCTGCACCCCACCTGCTGCCTACTTATGGATTGGGCTCCTGTGGAAGCCGCCTCATTAACTAGTACCCTTGCAGGTGAGGTTTTGAATAAGTGCAATAAGGCAGTCATTTTCAGGTGCTGTGATTCCCAGGTGTCATTTTGCTACACCTCAGGTATCCTTGGTTACCTTAAGGAATAGTCTGAAATCCTCAAAGGCAAATATATCCAATGAAAATGAGAATGTGTTCTATTTTTGGGTGGGTTACAGTTTAAAATCAGACTGACAAATGATAGGTGGTGGCAACCCACCTATCTAGCGAGATACAGCTTAGAAGAGTTAAAAAGTGGTCTTCAAAAGGCCTAACTAGAGGGTTGCTTGTGCAAGAGTGATCTCTGACTTGGACCATGGTAATGATATTTCACATTTTAATAGCTCTTTTCCCCATCATTACATCACATATGGTAGAATTAATTAGCTGGCCTCAAATTACTTCTTCGATAAAGGGAGAAGGTTGATATTACTCACACCATCTCCTGAAGGAGGAATTGAAGCAGAGAGAGGTTAAGTAACTTGACCAAGATTACAAAATGGGCCAGTCGGGAGTAAAATTTTGGGTTTCTTTACTCTTTTTACTTAGAAATTGTCCCAAGATGTTACCTTGCAAATAGGATCAAAATATGTGACATGGGCATGAACAGTGGCCACTGCCAACCAACAGGAACCAGATCGTGTCCTTAAGCAGAAGATTTAGCATTTATTTCGGAATATCTTACTACATGTCTGGCACTGAACTGGAGAGTTCCTACCCAGAAAAATGAAAAAATATTAAACCAGACAAATAAATGTCCATCCATCATTAGTTGGCCTCAGATTACTTCTGAGATTCAGGGAGACACTCTTTTCTTTCCCTCCTCCACTGATTTTTCATATCGTGAAACGTGAAATTATTCACAAATTCAAAGATTCCTCTTATAAAAGTTTCTCAGGAGTTTGTTCATAGATCATTAAACACTTAACAGTGGGAGAAACTAAAAGCTAAAATATTCCAAGTCACTACTGATTAAAAATATTAATGAGAAGATTTACTATATCATAAAGTGATTAAAAGACATCTATATGAGTGGTTGAATATTTTCATTCTTCTGCATAGGAACTCCTCAGTTCAGTATCAGACGTGTGGTGTCTGCCCAGGCACAAGCCTGCAAAGCTCTGTAAAGCACCAGGGGACTTTTCAGCAGGCAGCCCGTATCCCACCTTGCCCTGTCACCTGCCTCAGCAAGGTGACACAGATTGTGGTGGACAGGAAGAGCCCTTCTCTAAGACTGGAAAATCTAGTCTTTACGAAATCTTGATATATAATAACCAGAAGAGTTCAATTTAGTTCTGCTTCCTTCAGACCATGTTTTTCTCCTTCCTGCCTTCCTGCCTGCCTGCCTGCTTCCCTACCTCCCTCCCTCCCTGCCTGCCTCCCTGTTTCTCTGCCTCCTTCCTTCCCTGCCTCCCCCATTCCCTCCCTCCCTCCTTCCTTCCTTCCTTGTCTCCCTTTCTCCTTTTTTGAACCTGGGCATTGGCTAAAGTGTGTGATCACGTTCATTTATGAGGTGGTTGCCAAGGAAGATGTGCTACACAGCATCATTCATGTTCTGAGATACTCTAACTACAATTAGAAAAAACAGAGACCCATCGTAGAAGGATGAAATCAGCCATATCTGGCCTGCTGGGATTTATGCAGCCCCTTTGTCCAATGTCCCCAGGCCCAGTGGTTAAAATTAAGAAGGAAACAGCCTTTCATTCCAAACTGGCTTCCTCAGCCTGCCCTCTCTACCACCATCCTGGTGAAACTGCTCTAGTCAAGGTTGCCAATGACCTTTCTGTTGTGAAATCCAGAGGACTCTGTATTCGACTTAACACAGTTGGCCCTCTGCATCCGCGGGTTCTACATCTGCAAATTCAACCAACTGAGGATGGAAAATATTTGGGAAAAAATGCAAAGTAACAATATAACAATTAAAGGTAATACAAATTTAAAACACTGTATAGCAATTGTTTACGTAGCACTTACATTGTGTTAGGTATTATAAGTGACCTAGAGATGGTTTAAAGTATATGGGAGGATATATGTAGGTTATACGCAAATACTGCACCAGTTCATATAAGGGACTTAAGCATCTGAGCATTTTGATATTTGTGGGAATCCGGGAAGCAATCCCCCACAGAAACTGCAGGACGACTATATCTCACCCCATTTTCACCCAGCTGACTACTTCCATTAACAAACTGGACTCTTGGCTGTCAGGACACCCCATTCTCCTGCTTTTTATCCTACTTCTGGCAGTTCACCTCAATTGCAGGTTCCTCTTATTTTACCTGACCTTTTTAGGGCTTGGTCTACGTAGTTTTCTTTCTCTGCATTCCCTCCTAGATGTTTTCATTATTCATGCAGCTTTTATACAACAATACTCCCAAATATTTCTGTTGAGCTCTACCAGCTGTACACTGGTATGTCCATCTGCCTTCTTGATGTCCACTCACTTGGACAGTTCATTGGCTTCTTCAATCTAACAAGTCCAAATAGAAATCTTCCCCCCCGCAAGCCTATCCTGTACTCTCTCCCTTACTTCCCCATCTTGGTGAATGGTACAGTCATCACTTGGAGTCATCCTTGATTCCTTTCTCTCCCTTATTGCACAAATACAACCCACCTGCAAGACTTATTAGTCTTATCTTCAAATATATGTGGACTCTGTCAACTTATCTTCACTTTCACTTTCACCACCCTAATTCAAAATATAGGGATTTCCTGGAAGGATGCAACCACTGTGGGCTGCTGAAGACATAATTAAAAGAGGGCCACAGTGTGGACATCTTTCATAAACCCTTAGGGATGCTGTTGAAGATAGAAATTTCAAAAATGAACTTCAGTGCTATACAGAAAAGAGAAGTGTAGTCTACTGTGAACCACATACCCTCCCTAGGGCAACTAACCTAATTACCCTACTCAAGGGATTGGCCTGCCAAGCTATCATTTCTCACATTGGCTACAGAAACCCACTCTTCTTT